TTGTCATGCTAGATACAATAAGAATAGCTATATGACGATGTTCACCGTGCGCCTAGCTTTTTTATCTTATAAAAACTGATATCTAACATTGATATTAACCTATTTATTATTTCCAGATTATAAGCAATGAATCCAATGTATGTAGTTAAATTTGGTGGAAATGAAGTAAGTTTTGTACCACCAAGCTGCATACACTCAGCAAAAAACGCGAAAATGAAAGTAAATGTTGATTATTTATCTGTTGATAAAAATGATAGACATCGACGTCTTCGAGGTAAATTCCTGTTTAAAGGTAAGATTAGATAAAACTATATATTTACTTGTATACTGTATCATATTCTTCTTGACGACTATTGATAGAAACATTCGAGAAATGTGAAGAATATTGTGGGGGTGATACTTCTTTAACAGTTGATAAGTCAACAAGGTTGCCTACTATTGTCTCCGAATCCAATGCCAATAACAAAGTAATGAGATGTACAATATTTGAACAAAAAAAGCGAAAAAATGAATCAAAAGAACCTGAATTTACTGGAAAGCAAATGAAAACAAATTCGTCAATTGTGATTGTTAAGAAATCAACTCAAATTGATAAAACAACACAAAACAATCAACAAAATGCATTTGATAATCAGAAACGACAACCTAATGAAAATAATACCAATGATCAACCTGAATCATCCGCTTCAACTACAGAATCTTCAATCATTGTAAGCCTTTCTAATAACGATTCCCTTGACAATAATAGGTCGTCAAAATGTTCAGCTGATTTGAATCAATCTCAACAACGAACAAAATTAACAGGAATTGATCGACAAGAAAATGACACTATTTCCAATGATAATATAGAAGCGGATGATGAATTAATTTTACCTCGTCATATTCAACTTGAATTAAAGAGTAATAGAAAACGAATTCTTGATCTGGAAAATCAATTGAAAGAATTGAAACATACATCCGTTCGTAAGTTATTTTTTGTTAATTAATTTGGTTCAGTAAAGATATTTTTATTAATTTTAGCATTTCCAACAACTGAAAAAAGTGATTATTTGCGCCGTGTGTCGGCTGTTGTTGGTACGCGCAGTGAATTAGCAAAAACAAGAGTAATTAATGTAAGTTAATTTTAATACGATATTAGCATTTTTTATTGTCTATTTCTCGTTTTTCGATTTAGTATGAGCAACTGTTAGGTCTTACTAATTTTGAATTATTACAAGCAACTGGTAATGGACAATTATCATGGAGAAAAATTGTTGTCAATTTAATACAAGCTTGTTTCAAGAATGTAGATTTGCAATATGAAAATTATACATCACTTCGAACTCGTAATAAAGATGTAATTGATAATATTTCAGGTGAAAATCATAAGCGAAAATTTTGTTTTCAATATCTGCTAGTATAGATAACTTTCATTTGATATCAATGTAATATTAGTAGAAGAGAACTTATTTTATGTATATATGAAAGTTTTTCATACATTATCTTATCTATTTTAGCTTACGTCAAAACTGTTTGTCCTACTGCTGTATTCACCAAAACAGAATTTTCAAGTTGTATTTCTGGTAAATGTCATCAAATGAAATGTGATAACAAGAAAAAAGCCAATAAACTCGCTTCTCTTTAAAAGTTTCAACAACAGGATCATTATCTTATGGTTGTTACTAACCATAAAATATTACATTTGTGATGTAATCAAGAACAATATGTCGTCAAGTAAATGAACAATATTTAATTGAGCAGTATTTTCTTTTTATTTTTTACATATATTTCTTTGTTTTATGCCTGTAATACATTGAAGTCTTTCTTCCTTTACTGTTACTTTAATACCATTTCATCTACAGTTAAACTCATTATTGCACTTGATTACTGATGTTCATTTATCGTATATTTTTGATTTTTCGTCGGTTTTTGTCGATTTGTTCATTATGAGTAATATATCAAGATTCAGCTTGATCATGTTGTTGTATGGTTAAGCATTGTTGATTCAATTCATAATAGTTAATAAACATATAAATAATAACTTCATCTTAAACTTACTGAATTTGTCAAGATAATGTCGGAGTTTGACAACACATCAAACAAAGATTCAATTTCTCACAGCAGAATTTTCAATTCTGTATTTTTCATTTTTTTTAAGATGAGTCGAAGAATTTTTTATAGAAAACGAACTCGATTACAAAAATGAGAACAATCAAAATATGATTTCATTACTTCCAAGACATCTATCATCAATCAATCTCAAGAAATATTTTAAAATCAAAGTGATATGGAGCTATTTCTTTTAACACTTCTTAAATATAACTATTGATTCTAGAGTCTATATCATCTGCACCTATGAAAGTCGAAGAAATTAAGGAATTCAAATCAGAACGTATTGAATCAATGGATGCATTGGCAACGACAACTACCGAGATAAAATAAATGGTAAAATTAAATATTATTTTTGATTTTGTACAGATCTTAGCATAGTTGGTTATGTGTTGAGGATATTTTGAGTTTGAAATATACAAGTTTTATTTGCTAATTGCCATTTATACCAAAACCAGAAAATCTATAACTGCATCTAGATAGATTCAACTTTAGACGAAGCGAAATTCATCTCATTTTGCTAGACAGAGATACATTTGTTTAGAATGTACGTCAACGTTGTTACGACGATCACAATTAACGCGTAGTGATGTTGCCGCATCAGCTGTAATCTTTAAAGTTCGAAGGCAACAGAATAACAGTGACATCAATACATATTGTAGGTTTTTGAAAGCATTAAATGGTCCTGATATACCTACTTCTTGGAAATCTATTAAAAGAAAAATGAAATTAGATGTCTCATCGAAATGGTTTTGTTATAAAATTTGTAACGCGTGTGGTATGAAAGCCATCGACCAGAAGTGTTCTGAATGTTTTCAATGTAAATCCAGTGTTATGATAGAATTTTATTATTATTCTATTGTGGAACAACTTCAACATTTGCTACTCATGCCAAATATATTTAAGCAAATGAAACGTCAACGAAAGATTTATAAAGAAAATCTTCAAGCAAAAAAATATGGTCATATACTAAATTCAAAATCAGAAGAGTCCTTTACTATGATACTTAATACTGATGGTGCTGTTACGAAAAACAAGCATGTATCTTTATGACCAATAACTTTATGATAAACGAAATCCCGTTACCAAATCGACGATATTCGGAATCTATTATTCTTGGTGGTGTTTTACCAACACCAAATCATCCAACTAAAAAATTATTTCGAACTATACTGGACATAATATATCAAGAATGTGCATAATTAGAAACTGGTGTTAATTTTTTTATTCCTGGTGTAGGTGAACAAAATATTAAATTTTTATTATTGCATCATGTACAGATAAACCAGCTCAATCGTTATTGACTAATATAGTCTCCCACAATGCTTTACTGAAGATACATTAATTATTCTTTAGTTTCATTTTTCAAGTTCAAAATTTATTGCATTATTTTAGGTGAAAATTTCACTGTCTATTCGAAAAATGTACGAAAAAGTGCCATCAAAGTATTCCCGTATAGAAATGATAAAGCCAGGAATGATTCCGTATGCAATAATCTGGTGACCGAAGCCGAGCACCATGACTTTCCTGTTAAAAGGACATGCTGGTAAGCATTGTCTAAGTATTGTCTCGGATGCCTGGATTTAACCAGATTATTTGGGAGAGTCTTTCAGAGGAAAATTTTATATAATTATTTGCTACATATATGTTGTAAAATTTATTTTTTTTAGGTCCATGTCCTTTAACAAAATTAAAATATTATTCTTTTGGTGAATCAATACTCTTTGATTCATTGCATACATTATATTTAGGTATATTTAAAAAATTGTTTGTTGCTTTTTTTCAAATCCAAAACTGGTCGTCGACAAAAATGATCGCTTTATAATAAAATAAATAGTATTGATCAAGGGTTATCTTCTGTTAAAATTCCAACCAATCGTAGATTGATCTATTCGACTTTAGATTAAGCAACACGTGAACAGCTCTTCAGTTATCAGTAACAAATTTTCAGTTCCAACGGTTTTGTCTCGGTTCCATTTTTTTCGAAACTGTCGAGCTCTAAATCGCATAATATTGCATTGGTGCCACTAATAAAAAAGAACAAATTCGGTTGCTTTAAACCGCTGACAAGAATTTATTGAATCATCCCTCAAGGAACATATTTTTTTGTGGCAGAAGCACAAATAAATTCTCAAATTTAGATTAGTAAGAAGATCCATTTATTAAAACCATTTGATTTTCTACTCATGTCGTCAATTTTTTATCAAAACCGACAATTTAGTTCTTTTTTTCCAAGTTTTTTCATAATTTATCTATTAAATTAATATTTTTAATCTTGAAGAAATCACTTTCATTTGGAAAGAAAGCCGATTTTCATATGTCTCAGTGTATTGTGTCAGATGGTGCTACACTTTTTCCTATCAGTTAGTCTTCTAACTAATAACTATTTATGTGGTGCCATCTTTAACAAATAATCCAACTCGAAAACTAAGCGACAACAGTTGATGTGAATGGTACAGGACGACTTGAGCGTGCTCACACTCACATGGATACGTGAATTCGACTGACATCTAAATATTTATGCATTAAGATGCTAAAAAAAGAATTAAGCAGAAGAACCCGAGCGGTATGAACGATGTGAATATACATTTTGCATAGACTGTTTTTTCGCTGGCTATTCGGAATAAGAACATTGCCTCTTGATAGACTCGTTTTAAATTACAATCGGTTTCTGTTAACAATATGAACTTTGAGTATTGCACAACGATTGTAACGTGCATACGCCAACGTGAAGAATAGAAAACAAAACAACAAATTATTACTCAATCATTTTGCAAGAACACCTATGTAGTCTGTCTATTTCGTATATAAACGAGGTAGAGTTCTGTGTTTGTTACATTCGAAGTTAAAGACGAAGTATTCTAAAAAAACGCTTATATCCTTCCTAAACATTAACACTAAGATTATAGACAATGACTGAAGCATCTTCTACAACAACTATGGAACCCACATCTAATGCACTTACAGAATTGGATCTTGCTTTTATTATTGATGCTACAGGAAGTATGGGATCTTATATAAAATCAGCTCAAGAGGTCAGTATTAGTCTGTATAAACAATAAAAATTATCTATGAAGAATATTTTTTTTTAGAATATGCGAAATATTATTCAAGATATTATTATAAGTGAACGATGTTTATTGAATGTTGCATTAATTCTTTATCGTGATCACCCACCTCAGGATCGTACATTTATTATTCAAGTTAATGATTTTACAAATGATTCTGAACAAGCAAAAGCAAATATTGATTTAGCTTCTGCTTCTGGAGGTTTGCTATTTTATTTTTTTAATATCCAATATTTTAGTTGAAAATAAAAAAAACTAATATTTAGGTGGTGATGGTCCTGAAGCCATGACACCTGCATTACATGCTGCTGTTCATACTTTAACATGGCGAAAAAATGCAGTTAAAATAGCTATTCTTATTGCCGATGCTCCTCCTCATGGACTAGATCCGATGGGTGATGGTTGGCCTGATGGTAAAAAAAAAAAGAAAATATTTTTTTCTTATAAATTTTTATTTCAACATATATGTTTTTTTAATAGGTGATCCATCTGGACATGATCCCATGGAATGTGTTGGATTACTTGCTGAACGTGGTATTACTCTATATACAGTTGGATGTGAGCCAGCTACAATATCTTATCGTGATTTTTTCATGGCACTTGCATTTAAAACAGGTGGTCAATATATACCATTAAATAATTGTGCTAATTTAGCTTCGGTGATTGTTGGTTCCGCTAAAGAAGAAATTTCTCTTGAACGATTGATAGCTCAAGTACATGAAGAAGTAATGCGTGAAGCAGAATTACGTGGTGGTCCAATAGATGAAGCTGAACTTACTCGACGTATTCATGAATTAATGCATAGTGGAGGTAAATAGAAGAAAAGAAAAAGAAACGATATTAACAGTTAAATAGAAAAAGATTTATGTCAATTTTTTCTTTCATAGGTGTTAAAGCACGTCGATTAAAAATAGACAATCAAAATGGAACAACAAATATTCCATCATTAACACTGACTGCTGAACAACTTTCTACATTGACAACATTAAAAGAAGTTCGAGAAAAATGGATAGCTAATAAAGGATTGCTGATTGCTCCTCCTACTACTACAACAACATTTGGAGGGTTATTTGGTGTCAGTACAACTCCAACATCTGCTTCTACATTAACAAAGAGAAAACGTACTCGTACACCCGCTTCTACATTAACAAAGAAAAAACGTACTGGTACACCTGTCATGTAAGCTATTCCACCTGTTCATATGTTTGTTTTTTTTTGATTAATATTAAGATCGATGTTGTATTTTAGTAAGAAAACAACAGTAACTAAAGTAACAAAACCAATAATAAAGAAGAAACCTAAACGAGTAGTTGTTCATGGTAGTCGTCGAAGTGCTCGTCTAACATTCAATGGAGATCCTAAAGTGGAAGAAGAAGAAGAAGAAGAAGAAGAAGAAGAAGAAGAAGAAGAAGAAGAAGTGTCAACTGATAATGAAACAATGGAAGTATGTTATAAGATGTAATTTCCTAATTATTATTTATAAAAATAAAAATTTTTATTTTAGACATCAACACCTTCAGTTGTTCCTGCTGCAAAACCAATTGAAAAGAAAACTGAAATATCACATATAAATTTAGCCGATGATGAATTACTTGATGTTAGTCAAACACGAAGACTTGTTCGTAAATGTGTTGCTCGTAATAAACTCAAATCAACATGATTAAATTGTTTTCTTTTACTCTATTAGACATAATGTAATATTTGTAGTGTATTCTTTTAAATAAAATAAAAAGATTTCCTTACTTGAAATGTATATTATAGAGATTCTTTCCTTCAAATATTTCTATCATATACATACATAAACTTCATGGATAGGAGAAAAAAAAAGGGTTGTTACACTTTATTTTCTGAAGCTCCGATTCTTCTGCGAAGGATCACGAAATTTTATCTTCTTGATCTTGTTACATATCTGTCAATACTAATCTTTTATGATTATAAATAGAAACATTGCAGAGATTTGATATAGATATACTAAGGATTTTATTTTTATGCGTAGGTTTTCTTTAGAAAAAAATAGATGGTAGTATGGTTGAAATTGATCTTGCTTTCGTAATCGGTGACGTCATCAATCTTACACTGAAAATAACAACAGTTGCATGATTGCGTTCCATTTTATAGGTTTTCATTCAATAACTAATTATGTCTTTATCATTTCTTCTTCTGTTGTGCGAGATGATATTGTTATTTTCGATGTTTTTTCTTTATCATCGTTTTTCTTCGTTAAAGACTAATGCCACATTGTTTTGTTAAGCCTGAAGTCAACAACGTCGAGCTTCGACAAACTCTAGAATATGGTCGAAGTTTTCGAACGAATTTATTTAATTTGATAGTTTTAAGGTTTCGGTTTGTGAAAACGTTCAGTATCTTCTAAAAATTGTATGCAAAAAAAGAAGAGAATTAGTTTCTTAAGATTATACATTCTCATTTTCGGAACGTTCTTTATCTATAATGTATATAAAAATTCATTCTTTCCAATAACTGGCTTTAGATTTTTCTTTTTGAGTACGTAGCTGTTTGGATAAGTTACAAACATCATCTGGATTTATGAGAACAATGGCAGGCATTCTTGTTTTGATTTCGTTACTCTTGCTATGAATGTCTGTAATCTAATATGTACTGAGAAGTATATAAGAAAAAGTATTTCTCAATAAACTTTGCAAAGAATGATATACTCACAAATAATTCTTCGTGACCTATAAGTAGATCTTTCTTTGATGGATACCATTTTTTCTTGAACTGATTCCATGGAATATCGTCCATCACTATATAGTCGGCGTCATTATTCCATTTTCCGGGATACCATAGATCTTGATAATGAGTCATTACACTCAGTAGAGATCGTGTGAAAATTGTCTTTCTTAAATTTTTTTTATGATAGAAGAAACAATCACTTGATTAAAAAACGTTGATTTTAGTAATTTATTTACATACCTCTTTCTATTAGACCAATCAAAGTGGGACATTTGGATCATTCTTCTTTTCTAAAATTAATTGCCAGCCATTTATTCATTCGCTTTCTATTATACGTCGCTCGAATAGAAAGGAAAAAACACATATTAACAGCATGAAAAGTAAGAATACGTACTTACGCTTTTTGTATAAACAGGAAATGAATCTGACTAGCAATGCTCTTTATCATAGGCCTGAAGCTGTTATTCTTCGAATCGCACTTGTTTATTGATGTATTGAAGATGCGTTTGACAGCTTTTCACTAGAAAAATAAAACAGATCAAATTTTTTCTCATATTCTTTCTCTTTGATTTAATAGATATTTCAATAGTTCGAAATTTAGATCAATAAATTTACTATTTCAAGCTTGATAAAGTTTCTGTTGATGCCTTTTCATTCAATGACGAATTCCTTCATCAACATTGCCTTCATTTAATTTGAACGCTTGCAAGACTAACTCACCGGAAATTCAAGTATGTTTTTCTTTTAGAATATTAAAAGTGTGATGTTTTGAGAGTAATAGTATTTTTCCTACATGCTCTTTGAGATTTTGATCACGGTATTGAACCTTCACAACGCGATAAGCCTTGAAATAAACTATACTAAACGAAGTTTCGTCCTAGTTAAAACACTGAAGTATACTTTTCGTCTTCAGTCATTTGTTTAATGTTAGTCGATATCAGGTTTTTTTTTCAAAAGCATTTTTCTGACCTTTTTTATATGTTCATTCCATGCATGATCGTATTTCATGACATGACAAATTGATTCATATGAAGAAAGAAAATAGTTATTAAATTTCTAGAAGAATATCTTACTCGATACATTTGTGAAACACGAAATAGCCATCGTAACAGAATTTAATTTAAAAGATTTTGTATTTTTTTCTTGCAGTTTAACTGGCTGATGCGTTGTGGGCAAACAAAAATCCTTTTCTCTTGCAAAAGTTTTTATTGCATCTAATGCCATTCAGAAACAAGAAAATATTTAAAAAAAAGATTATCCACATGTCATATAACTTACCTAAATGTTCATACTCAAAGAATGGCCGATCATCTTAGTCAACGATGTCTGACAGATTAATTGGCGGATACGGACGACTTCATAAATTATTGTGCTTCGTAATACTAATAGTAGCGATAGTAATAATGAAATTTATGTCCCATGTTGAATCTAAATTAATAAAGGTTCCATATGAAAATAGAATGAATATGGGCAAAATAAAAACGTGTCACTTGACACACAGAGATATTCAGATTCTATCTCCATTGTCGAATCATTATTATCGATAATAAATCTTGATATTGTTTTATCGGATTGTATCGTATGAAGTATGTAATAAGTTAAAGAATGAATTAGACAAATATCTCGAAATGAATCGAATTCATGAAAATTTATGATAATTTAATCATCGATTATTCTTTTCTTGTCATGTCACATTCCATTTGTTTGTTCAATAAAAAACTTAATGACCGAATACGAAAATATTGAAAGCGATTGACGTCAATATTATGTGACAAAAATTATTGGATCTATATAAAAACTCTTTCCGTGTTATTATCAATTCCTTTAGAAAAGTAGCACTCTATACGAAATAAATCACACTCGAGTACTATATTGTGATTTGATCCTTTTAGAACAACATCTTGTGAGGCGACTACGATAATTTCAATAGCCAAAAATGCAATAAGACTACTTCAGAAATATCTAATGAAAACAATATAACCAATGTCAAGAGTGTTACTATTCCACATCAATGAGATATATACTTATGAATCATTTAGTATTTATTATTGTGCTAAAAATAAATTGTGATATGTCTTCATATAGTAAGATAGTGGTACAAATATGAATGATAAAAACTTAAAAAAGATAATTTTCTTTTTATTAAAATAAAATAAAATAAATGAATAAAAATCCATTGGTATTGGTTGGTTATTGTCATTGAACCATTGATAAATTGTAGTGTAATCATTGAAGTCCATAAGTTTTAATTTATAACTATCAATAATTATAATAGAAAGAGTACCTTAAGCCTGACAATGTACACCCTAGTCGAACATCTTGTAAACAATATCTTATCAAGCTCTTTAAAAGATAATTCATTTGTGTATATCTTGAGCGTATCAGATATAACTGTACCTAAGATCTTTGTTAGATCTGTTCAAAGATTCTCACATGTCAAGATTATAAAAAAGATATCAGTTATTATTATCTTTTCCCAGGATCTCGAGTAAAACAAAAAGCGGCATCATTAATTTATTCACACTTTTAAAAATTCTTTAATCGTTTGGAACTACACGTTCCAAAACTCAATCATATAAACTTGTAAATCTCATAGACGTGTAAAAAATTTGGAAACAGTGAAGGCATTTGCAAACCAATAAACTTAAAGTTATGAAGAACAAAGAGGAAAGAAAAAATAATTTGACAGAAAATTCATAAAGTATCAACAAAGTTTTTTAGGCTAATCTAGCGAGCATTTATGAAAAATTTGTATTTTATAAGAGGATGGTTGATGTCTGGTTACGATATAAGACGGTTTAGAATTCGAATTTTTTAAAGTCAAACTTTTTTTGAAATTCGATAAAATAAAAGACGTTTTAGATTTTAGTATTAATCAAATCTTTAATTTAGATAAATCCTTTGAATTCTTTGTTTCTTTACGCTATAGTTTTACTCTATTTGAGTTTGCATAAATAGGCATGTTTTTGAATTCATAATAATTGCTCCTATCAACTAAAGAATTTTCTGCATGTTTTTAGTTCTTGTTTTTTGTACTATTTTTAATGGAAAATTAACTTGCACTAAATGTTCAGAAAGATATTGCTCATGTTAGATATAAATTGAACAGGCGAACTTTAAATAAAGATCTCGTCGATCTTGGTTATTAGTTGAAAGATATAATTGCTGGGAACAAAGATCAATAAAAACGATCACAACAGACCAGATATCAAATTAAAGACATTGAATACCTGCATCCAAGATCTTTTAGATTTGTACCAAAGATCTAATTATAAATCTTAGTACAAGATAATATGATTATCTTACACTTAAACTTTCAAGATCTGTTCATATCTCTGTAGCTTGTATCCTGACCAAGATCTTGCTTACAAGATGTTCGACTAGGGAAAGCTAAAACGACACTATTCTGTACACTTTCTAATTTAACACTCTTAACTTTCGATTCACGCGACACCTGCAATCAACATATAATATTGAGCAGCTCTGGTTCAATTGAAAATTCAACCTCGACTAGATAGTCAAGGAAACATATCATCAGTGAAAAAAGTCTACATAATGACAGCACATTTCAACTAAATATTTAAAAAAACAAAAGAATAAATTAAAAAATACGGACGACACATATAATTATGCAACATGTAGAATAAGCATCCAAAAATAAACAATGCTATTATCGCAACATTCGTTTGATTTCAGTTTTGACGAAAATCATGTTAACACTTCCTATGTAATAAAATAAATGACAAAGATTGCATGACATACGAATGACTTCTAATACAGGAGTGTTAAGCATCTACCGATACGAGACATGTCTTGAATACTTTTCCACTACCACATATTCTCAAAGACCTACTTTTAAGTTATAATCCATAATTAGAAAAGATATGAGTACGAAGTAGACGTGTACTAAATGCAATCAATTAAATCTTGATCTATTCGATAGAAAATCTTTCTTTTTTATATATTTTC